CAGGAAAATAAAACTCTTGTTCCAGTGATCGCATCTTCTTCTTCTTCTGAACCGCTTCCTGGAACTCGCATATTCTCTTCTATTGGTTATCCCTTTGGGCGCGATGCGCTCCGATTGGCTCGACGGCGAAAAGCATTTGCTCTTCGCGAGTCATTTACTTATGCACAGATTCGATTCCTTCACAGGTGGCTAGAAATAATTTGTTACTGAAATGTGTTTCGCACAGACCTCCGGTTAATGCAAAGTTGGTGAGACGCAAAGAATTTCAGCAGGGCCGATGTATGATCCAAGTGATCCTTCAAGACTGTCCCGTGAGACTTCGCAAGGATAAAGAACTACCTTGGGACAGCGTTTAGTATGTAAAATAGAATGAAGGGGTACGAAGCCACTGGTAAAAGCAAAAGAGCAAATTAGACGAAACGAAAAATAGCTTCCACGTTAGCCCGTAGGTTGTGTTCTGATTGCATTGTCTCGGATGGCTGGCGTGATTACCGTACACTCCCAAAAGTAGGTCACCTTCAGCCCTTTTCTTTTGGAAACCCAGTAATCGATAGTTTGTAAGAAAATTGCAAATAGTAGAGAGGACTTGAAAAGTTAATAAAAAATCATATTACTACTGATAGCCTGGTATGCATACCGGAATGTACGCTTGAGTATTTTTGCTGAAGGAAACACTACCAACTAATAACTTTAAGCAGTAATTTTGATGCTTTGGGCCGTTAGGTTGTCGACCTCAGCCCTGCTGCGTGAAATAGTAAGACAATAATAAATGCAATTTCCGATCCATACTGATCAGTTAAACTCCCAAGTTAGGTATTGGAAGCAAATGGTAGCTACCAAGTGAAGTTAGAAGTATTTTGCTTGCCATTTTTATTTGCATGGTTACTGCTGTGCGATTGTAGTTATCAACATGAGCGACTCACCCGGTAGACGCCATCCACAACGCCCACAACAATAGCAGTGAATACGGCTGATATTACCTACTGGACTGTAAATCCTTATGAGTCTTTAAAAGCAGGAATAAAGAAAGCAAGTCAACGCTGCTCGACCTGGAGTCTGCTTAGTGGCGACAGACACGCGTACTCAGCGGCTATCCAAGCAGCAACGACAATAAAATCCGTCTGATAAGTCCACTTGCAATTTATCATAGTACTACTGGCTTATAGATGTTAGTGCTGGCTTGTAGACGCCACTGCCGGAACCTCAACAGTAGCTGAAGATGAGGCAGGACAATAGACAGTTGCATGAACAAGGTACATTGACCAGCACATCGTATTTATAAATAAGTTATAATAACGCTTACTTACAGATCTTCAGTAGGGTGCATTTTCACAACCTTCCATTTTCATCCTACTGAAGATATGTATGCAAGGGGCTATGATAAATGTTCACCTTCCAAGGGCCAAGTGAATCGCATTTAACCATTTGAAATTTTCTCAGAAGCAGCAAAATGATTATTCTCAATGAGAAAAGGGTCTTAGTTGTCTAAGAGGAGTGTTGGGATTGTATCAGATGCAAATTAATGCGAGTTAATAAGGTAGCTTGTCCCTATCTAACTCAATTAGTTTGGGCAGTACATCATGCACAGAGTTAATGGGATATCGGCGTGTTTAAAACGTACGTTAAGGGAGAATTTAGCGGTTGAGCGTCTACCGAGAGCTTTGTGTTGAAATTAGTAGTTACATTCAACAAAAAGGGATGATTTCATGAGATTCATTGACGATCTATGGCGGGAGAACCTCTGCGAAAAATGAGCAGTGGCGTCTGTACTATGGAA